CATTGTTCTATGATAATACATTTTTTTGTTTTGAATTAACATTTAACTTTTAAATAACATTCAATAGTATTGAATTTTGCAATTTAAAAACTTTTTTGTTTGTTTCTTCAAGTCCGTTTTCCGTTTAGTTTAGCGGTTGTGAACCATTTTGGCTTATTATAAATAACTCTGGTATTGTTTGTTTTTTGATTAAAATAAAGTTCGCCCGCTTTCAATAAAAAAATAAATAAAACGTAAATGTATTTAAAAATGCCAACTGTCAGCTCGAAACAAATTTAAGAGATGGAAGAGGTGTGATCATTCAGAAATGTGTAACCGTGACGTGAATATAAATAAGGTCTGTAAATAGAGGACTTTATTAAACAATTTCTGATTAAATTTGGCCAATCGGTTCAGAAGCGGAAGTGTTAACTCAAGTCTCTAGGAAGGTCAACGGATGCTTTATTAATTTTAAATACTTTAATGCCTGTTATTGTTTTTGTCCAGCCTTGCAATTTATTTTATTGCAAACGTGCACAACATTCACTTTTGACATGTATGAAGGAATGAGTATTTTTTTGGATATAGTTATAGCTTTTCAATGGTTTGTAAACATACCATTCGTATAAATTGGCTGTTATTCGATTTAACTGTTTTAATAGTGCGTTGAAAGAAGCTATAAAAAATTCAAATTCTTAAAACCTTCGCGTGTCAAATAGTCGGAATCTATAGGACCATTTGATGTTCTTCTGTGTTACTTTTTTCTGTATATGTACGTGTTTTTAGTCCACTTGCCTGCATGGAACTAAACTATATCTATTTTAATTTTTAATAACAATTATCAATTTATTATTTAGTAATCCTTTTTTTCGCTTAACATCTATGATAAAATTATACATATGTATTTATAAATCCCGTTATGAACTTGTAATGCATAAACCTTTCACTTTTTGCTCACAAAATAACTACAATATTATAAAATTAATCGTATTGAGGCATATCAAAGAATTCTAATACGATTTTTACTTGAGTTTAATTTATTTAATAATACACACATGTACATATCGTTCGCTTACAGAAAGAACGTCATAATCAGCCTCATTGCGTACGTCGTAAATTAAACAAAATGGCAGGACTCGACAACATTGGCATTATCACGGAAAGGCTGAAATTTCGCACAAGAATGAATAAATTTTCTTCATAAAAAATACTTCAAATTTAGCTTATCATATATATTTATTTGCTGTCTAAAATTGTCAACTCTTGCATTTTATCCTCTTTTTCAGATGACTTGTAAAATATTTCTGTAACTTTAAATAATTTCTGCACTTTATCACTTCATAAACTTGCCTTTGCACTGAATAAGCAGACAACGAAATGTGCAGCCAAGTTTTTCCGTTATAATACAATAGTTGAGTCGAAATTTTAGGCAAAACCATATATATATATGATTGCACTCGACACGATACTCGCAATGAGGCTGACTAAACAAAAGTATTTGTTTAGTTAAGTATGTGGATATGTATGCTTTCATCTCGCCTTTATTTCTGTTGTGTAAAAAACTTATAAATGATATATGCCAATAGTGTCTTATAAGAAACGAATTTGTCTTCTTTGCAACTTTACTTTTTCGGCTTTGTTTACCAACTAAAACCAGAAAACAATCATCCCCAAGTAAGGTTGGATGGCAGCTTTATACTCTGGATTTGATTTTCCGATTGTTTAGCAATTATACATAGATTTTTTGTGCAAAAAAATATTGCCCAATTTTTCCTAATATTAAGAATTCGAATTAGCAGAAGTGTGCGTTTTTTAATATTTTCTATATTTTTCTTGTTAAATATTTTTCGTACATTTTCTATTTAGTAAAAAATGGCTCATATTATATCAGAATCTATATATATCGTTATAGAAATTTCAAACTTTTTAAGCAGAATTAAAAAAATATAGAATAAAGTTTTATACCCTATTAAATTTTAGTATTATAGAGTACATGTATGAACCGGCTAATAATTCACGTTGATTTTTAATAATTTTTATTGGTGGCGGTGCTACGCATCTTCTTCTGTAAATTGATTTTATTTTTTTTTTGATATGGGGGAAAATGCGAAACACTTCGATAAAAAAAATCTCAAAAATTAACGATAAAATTTAGCGAATTCAAACCTGCATCTTCTTATACTAAAATTTACTGGACTCCAAACTGCATACTCAACATTTGCTTAAGAAATCAAATTCGTTGGCATTTCTTACTGTACTGGTAATGTATATGCTTTTGCGTAAATACCCGATGTTAATTTTATATAGTTATTATTTGTTTTTGTTCAAGCAGAAAATAAGTAACGAAAACTGCAAAGCCGTTTTCACGATCTTTTGAATTTTTAGATTTGCGGCGTCCTGCCAGAAACGAGCGATATGTACATATGCATGTAAGAATCTTAGAAGCTAGCAACGGATTTTGTTTTTGCGTTTCTTAGCTGTTAAATATCTGTGTTTGCATAAGAAGCGCGTGTCTTTAATAGTTTCCTTAAAACTACATATTTCATTAACTAAAAAATATTTCGAAAAGTGTGATTTACAACTACATATGTATATGTATGTAAGAAAGTAATAATAGTCGTAAAATTACAAATTAATGCTATTTCTCATATACTCTTGCCGTTTTTTGTTTTTGTTTTTTGTATTTAAAATAATGTGGTACTTATAAAGTTCTTTTAACATTGGGGGGGGATGCATGCTTTATGTATATGTATTTATTTTAAACTGTACTTTTAGTAAAAAAAAATGATTTCACTTTAATAATATAATAATAGAAAAAAATATCACCAATTTGTTGTTATCCATTTTAACGTTTTTATTCATACGAAAAACGTATAAATATTAATATGTTTGCTTGCATGCGTGGGAGCACATATTATTTTTCTTCGTATCAAATCGCTTTAATACACTAAATATAAGAAATGAAAGTGCATCATACAATATGTATGCACATGTGTATATATGTATGTATGCACATACGTATTTGGGTCAAAAAATGACATATGCAAGTGTTTTACGGCATTTTACTACAGCAGGGATTACATGATTTGTATATTTATACAGAAGCCACAGAGTGGTGTCGTCTAGAAATGCTTAATGATAATGAGTTGAGCTCAATAACAAATGTCCAAACAAGCCCACTCTAACTGTCAAAATGTACAAAACGTTCGATCCTTGCTTGTGTTGTTTTCGAGCAGTCAAGCTGATTAGTTATTTTTAATTTTTGTAAACGGTTTTGACTCAATCCACTTTAAGTACATTGTATGTATGTATGTATGTACGCATACTAGACTGCATCACCAAAAAAAGTTGCGGTTTCCTGTCGGAATTAAAAAAATTATTACATTTGAAGATGTCCACCAAAATATTTCGGAAAAATATTAAGATTTACTTACGTGAGCTGGACCGATTTGAAAATTCCTCTAAAAATGGAGTTTTTTATGAATAAAAATAGTATCTTAAAGAACTTTTTGAAGAAAATTCCCTCAAATCAGAAAATAGATTAAGCTTAAAAAATCTGCATAAAAATATTTAAAAATCTTTTCAACGGCCTCATAATAATGAGACGTTCGATGCTGTTTTTTTTAACCTTTTTCAAAGATTGATTTACGAAAAACTTGAATAACTGGACCAAAACTATTCTGATTTAGACTTATGGGGTGTCAGTAGAAAGGTATTTTTCCACGCATTTTATTTCTGTGCAAAAAAAAACTCATTCTCGTCCCATTTTTTTTTTTTTTTACAAATACCAACACATCTTAATTCAACTTGGAATGATGCTCGTTCATCCTACCGTCCTTTAGTAAAGAAATAAAAAGGGCGAGAAAATACCTTTCCAATGATACCTCACAAGTCTAAATCGGAATAGTTTAGGTTCAGTTATTCAAGTTTTTTTTTATACCAATATTTAAAAAACAGCATCAAAAATCTCATTATGACGATTCTGTTGAAAATTTCTTTAAAATATATTTATGCAAATTTTTTAAGCTTAAACCGTTATCAATTGAGGTGATTTTTTTTTTTAAAAAATCTTTAGGAAACTATTTTAATTCATAAAAACTCCATTTTTGGAGGTATTTTCAAATCGGTCCAGGTCACGTAAATCCAAATATTTTTCCAAAATATTTTGGTGGAAGTCATAAAATATAACAGATTTTATAATTCCAATGGAAATACAGCACCGAGTTTTTTTTTGTATGGGGAGTGATGCATACATATGTAAGTATTTGTAAGATAAATTGTAATAATAGCCGTCTTAACCCAATGCGCACCCAAAAACTCCTTTCAGTGTTAAAATCCCCTTTTAATGTATTTTTTTTTTTGAAAATTTTAAGGGAATGTTGCTTGAATAATACAAGTTATTACAACTTTGAGCAAAATCTTTAGCAAATATGCTTCAAATTCCTCCTCTATAAGAACGAAGCACCAAATACTAGAGTACGTATTTTATTTAAAAATAAAAAATAACTGATCATTAACGAGATAATTTTTAAAGTAAAGCTGAAGTTGATTATATAGGGCGTATAAAAACATCTACGACTTATAATCAACGCCCTCTATATACAATTTTCCGGTATTACATACATAAAAATGTACATCTATAAAAATAGATTTCAAAGTTAGAAAATAAATTTAAACCATAAAGGTTTTAAAAACCCGATACCAGTTTTTATGAAAATGTAGGTAGAATGTATTAACTATAAGCCATCGATATGTACGTATACAATTCAAAAGGCGAATCAACCCGAAATAAAATAGTTTGATTTTTGAGTGCTTCTCTCTGAGAGGTCTACATTGGGTTTGGCTTCGATGCCGTGTTCACGAAACATTTGATTTGAAAAGCATTTATTTTACCTACACCATGGCTGGTGGCAATCGGCTATTTAAATTCCACACTCATTTCAAGTGTCAGTCTGTATGTTGTCTACATTTGCAATCGTAATGATTTGACTTTTAAACCCACATAAATACTCATTTTCCATTTATAGAATGTCTTGCAGATTAAAATTGTCATTGTCTAGCGAATTGATTAAATCCTGCGTAGAGAAGTTGCCGCTGTCTACCGGTAAATTGTCAAGGAATTCGAGACATAAATCGTTTGAATTGGCTACTACTGAGTTTATAGTCTGATTAATGGCATTGGCAGTATTAGAAGGAGCTGGGGCGTTAACAGATTGATTTACGGCCGCAGATGACGCAGCCGCCGTTATGTTATTGCTTGCGATATTGTTATTACTAGGTCCAAGGACGCCGCCTGCTCCATGCCCACCCAATACCCCGCCTCCGGGACCAGGTCCGCTCCCACCTGGGCCGGCTACCATACCACCAGAAGCTGAGCTGCTGTTTACCACACTTTGTGCCATTTGCATCATTTGTGTATGTTGCTGGTGCGTTGTTGCCGTCGACGAGGTTTGTTGCACGAATTGCTGTTGCTGCATTGTGATTTGTTGTTGCGACTGCGACATATGTAGCGACGCCATTTGCATTTGGGTCATCATGCTGCCAGGTCCGGGTCCATGCGGACCAGGGCCACTTGATTGCTGTTGATGGTGTTGGTGTAGCATTTGTTGCATCTGCATATTGCCAGGTCCAGGTCCGCCGTTACCTCCAGCGTTTGCTAGCATCTGTTGTTGCTGTGATTGCAGTTGCTGCTGTTGTTGTACTTGTTGTTGGCGCATCATCTGCTGCTGGATCTGTGCTGGATTCAATTGCATTCCTTGGTTCGGACCGGGGCCCATGCTACCGCTGCCTCCACCTGACATGGGACCACCTCCGCCAGCGTTAGACATAAAACCACCTGAACACCAAACAGAAAACAATGTATTTAATGTAGTCTTAGATTTTTAAGAGCTTGTTTATAAGAAAATTACCGGCGCTAAAACCTCCGGGTCCTTGGCGCATCGGGCCACCTGGGCCACCTCCAAAACCCATCTGTTGCTGCTGTGACATCATCATGTGGCGCCATTCCTGTTGCGATCCGATTGGCATGCCGTCAGGCGTCACTTGTACGTTGGGTGGCCGCTGCTGTGGCCCCATCGGACCGCCATAGGGACCCATGGCTGATCGCGGACCGCTCGCACCCGAATGCTGCATGTACATGGAGTGCTGAGGACGCATCATTGGACCTATTGAAAGCCGAATTGTAAGTTATAAATTTGTCATAATTTATGCGACTATATAAAATTGCCTGAAGGTGGTATGGGCTGCTGTGTCATTCTTCGCATCGCCGCTGCTTGGGCTGCTGCATTCGGAAATCGTCCACCGCCTCCAACGGTCTGCTGCATCATTTGTGCTTGCATAAGCTGCGCCTGCGACGCCTTGTATTCTGGCGGCGGGGGACGCGCTCCGCCCATGTGTTGCTGTTGCTGCTGCATTGCTTGTGCTCGCATCATTTGCTGTTGCTGCAAGAACTTTGCTTGACTTATATTCATTGGTGGTCCACCGTTGGGACCAGCACCCATCATCATAGCAGCCGCAGATGAGTTTGGTACATTAGGACCATTCTGATGTGACATATTGCTGCCTGTCATCATACCGCCCATTTGGTTTGGTCCACTCATGCCTCCCATGCCTATCTGTGAACCTGGTCCGCTCGGCCCCATAGCATTCATGCCGGGTGGAAGCACATTCGGACCACTGTGTACGTTACTACCAATCACGCTTGACTGCGGAGCGCTCGACTGCTGTTGCTGCTGGCCCATGAGATTGTTAGCACCGCCTGTATTGTTCGTCCCGTTAGTATTGTTATTGTTAGGCCCGTTGGAGCCCACTGGCGAACCCACATTTGTCGAAGTTACCTGCGCCAAGGCAGCGGCTGCAGCTGCGGCTGCCGCTGCTTGGGCCTGAGCTTGCGACTGGCGCTGGCGCATGTTGGACGGCATCTGTTGATTTTGCTGCGCTTGCTGCTGTGCCTGCTGTTGCTGCTGCTGTTGTTGTTGTTGTGCCTGCTGTTGTTGGGTGAAGCTCATTGATTGTGTTTGCGAAATAGAGAAGCCGTCTGAGGTACCTGCGAAAAATGCAAAAGACATACATACAATAAAAAAATATGCTTATCATGGATGTTCTCAGGTTGTGGCACTCACCATTTCCGTGATTGATATTTGGATTTGGTTGCTGTTGAGACTGTTGCGATTGTTGTTGCTGTTGCGGATTCTGAGTATTTTGCTGTTGCTGCTGGCCGTGTTGCTGTTGCGCGCCATGCCCTTGCTGTTGCGTTCCTGGCCCATGGGTCTGTTGTTGCTGCTGATTGAAAAATTGCACGGCCTGTTGCGCAGCCACCGAGACATTGCTCTTCATGTCCCCAGTCAAATGGAGATGTTGACCAGTCGAGACCTAACATAAAAAAATAAGGTCTAATTACTCGTTTTATTCAATTAAGACACCAAAAATTGATGTGTATCTTTAGAATAGTTCACAAATAATTGTCCGATTGAGAATTTAAAATGATTTTAGATTGATGGTATGTTTAACTCTTTCATTTAGTTTGTACATTATATTGGACATCAGAAAACCGTTTTTACGTTCACATTGAAGCATCTTTTTTTCAAATTAGTTGCTACAATGAAATGGCGCGATGAAACTAAATTAGATATATTTTACGTTTAATTCGGTTGGATTTTCGATTTTGTGCTCAATAGAAGTCATATTAAAAATGCCAATTGCTGGTATAGAAAAAAGGCAGAAGACGAAGTAATTTGAGCCGAAAAGCTAGTAGACAGATTTCCCTGCATTGAAATGAATGCAACACACACGCACACAATAATGTTATTAATCGGTTATGTTCGGGAGTGTACGAGAGTTATGCGAATTTTCCGTTGTTGGCATCTTCGTGAGCCTACATTCATTCATACATACATGTATGTATGGATACTCATTTACTGTGGGTGGTCCATAAGGACACGGCAAAAATGTGATTGCGTGGTTACAGTTTTTCTCAGTTGGAAAATAGGCAAGAATCTTACGAGGTAATAAAAGTTTTCTTTCAGTTTTTATTACTAAAATTGTTATCATGATTAAAGTTATCTATTAGTAACCCAGAAGATAATTTATGTAGGCCTTCTTAAGTAAAACCATAATAACAGGCCTACCCAAGAAGGGCTGAAAGAAGTGCTTCCTTTCATGCCTTCTAGAATCCGTTTACAATTTACGCGAATGCATAAATTTATATTATTTAGCATTGCAAATGAACTTCAATAAACATTTTAAGTGGCAACAACACATATTTGATATAAGCCTTAAGCAAATACTTCAAATATGTATGATTTTTATAAATTAAAGAATCGAAAGGAGAAAGGAATGTAGAGTGGATGGCCTCTTGACTCTCAGGAAGGCCTTTCGGAAGGGATTTTAACTCCTGAAATTATCTACTGGGAAAGCACAAAATGAACTCCATCGCTTCTGCCTTACTAAAATAATTTGTAAAATACTTAATATACCGCCGAACTACTCCGACCGATTGCGGCATAGAAGTTGTCTGATACCAAATGTACATTCTGAATTCCCACTGTCATAAGGGGGCCATGGCCTTTGTTAAAGTAAGTGAAATCCGGCAGGAAAGTGGTGAGGGCCGCTGGGTGAATAGTAAGTTGCTGGAAAGGCATTATTACGTTCTTCTAGTTTTCACTGGGTTATTGCAAGTCGAGACTGCCATTACTCTCTTTTTTACTTTCACATAAAAATTATTTATTTTGTCATTCGAACCGAAACGAAGAGAAGAGCAAGTGTTTCAAGTTAAAATCGCGGAAAGTGCAGAGGCGAATGAAGCATATTTCTCATTTGGTGGAGAAATGTCATAAATCGAAAATGCGAAAAAAACAGCTCCAACTGTTTAACTCTGGTTTTTCGACTTGAAACGAAAATAAATAACCAAAAAATATGTAAATTATTTCGTCAAATTTAGTTCAGTCCATGATAAAAATATAGCAAGGTAGAACCGTTCTCTCAATTTGTCGGCCATGATTTTTTTTGAAGTTTGCCAACATTTTAAAATCATATAAAATTTAAAATAAAAAAATTAAATTGTTCGAAATTGTTGTTGCTTTAGATTGAAAATGAAAATGTGTGTGTGAGTTTGTGAGTAAATTTAAAAATTAAATTGTTTGGAAACGTCAAGAATTTTAAAAGTGACTCTCAGCGGTTCTACCTTACTATATTTTTATCATGGTTCACATGGACAACAAAGCTATCATTAAGACTTAATTTGGTTTCTTTTTAATCAAATTTGAAATTTTGAAAAATGTTGAGTATGCAGTTTTGTAGCCCATAAAATTTTAGTAGGATAAAGAGCAAATTTCAAGACGCTAGAAATTCGCCTTGATTTTTATACATTTTTTTTTTGCTGACGATGCTGGTCATTTTCTTCCATATAAAAAGTAATTTTGAGCATGGTCGAGAATACTTTATATGGAAGAAAAGGCACAACACCGTCAGCCAAAAAAATTATTAAAAATCAACGTGCTTTTCTATTTCCACTTTGACCTGCTAAAATTTAATGAACATATCTAAATTTTTTCGAAAAATTCTGAGTAGAAAATTTTACATTTTTGAGGGGATTTTGGTAAAATTTGTTAAATTTAATAATTTTTGTACAAAGTTGGAATTGTGGATTTATATGGTGCTTGTTACATAATACGCTAGACTTTTATAAAAAAATATGAAACATCGAATAAACAAAGAAATATATATATAAAGTTTCTATTATATCTTCCGTCACTGTATGTATCTACATTAGGGTGGTCCAAAAATGCATGTAAAAAAAGTATAAGTCGGAATTTTTATGCTCTCACCCCCCAAGATCTATATCGAATCTTTTATATCGAAAAAAGTATACAACAATTTTTTTATTTTGAAATCAAAAAATATTTAGAGGTCGCTCAAAGAGCTCAAAGTTTTCCATGAATTTTTGTATGGGAAAAAAACACTTTTCGTAGAAATACTATAGAACTCTTGAAAATCAATGTCTTTCGATCGGAGGACTCAGGTTCTCTTCAGAAGATTTCCAATAATAATACCCAATAATTTTTTTAACCATTTTTGGCAAATAATCCCGGGATTTTCGAAACTTAAAAAAGACCGGGATCCTAACATTCCTATTACATACACCCTCATTATGAACTACCATATGATGACGATAAGCGCTTGTAACCGTTTTGTTTTAAATCAGTTTTCGTATTATCATTTTGATACGCCCGACAGATGTGATATTGTGAATGACAGCGATTACTGACAATTTGAGGAAGCAACTGTTATTTCATAAATACGAGTAATGAAATAAAATAGAAAGGAAAATTATCATAGAAAACTAACAACTCTACTTATTATACTATAAACGCTTGCCGTCAGATTTTTTTCGATACGAGTTCAATTCGTAAAGTGGGATGACGGAATGTAAACGTTTATCGTGTATCGTAAAAATTCCTAATAGGGGAATAAATTGCGTTCGCTTAAGCATATACCACAATCCACACCCAGAATTCTTCACATTGTCATATGTACAGACATCTCCATACATATCGCACACTAAATCAAAAACAATCACAACTCGAAAGTTTTTCAAATTTGGTTTTTATCCATAAAACAGTTCACGAACCTTATACATATCTAGGTCTGCCAAAATTTCCTCTTCGGCACCGTCTTATTTAACGAGAAAACTGCTATTAATACTGCATCAGCATATTTTTGCCCTCTTGAGCATTTGGGATTTTTTGAGTTGTGGCTGTTGTTTTTCATTTAGGGTGCGATATGTACTATGTATATATGTACATTAGAGTGGTCGAAAATTGCATGTGAAAAAGTAAAGTCGGAATTTTAATGCCGCCACCCTCTAGGATTGTTCTATACCAAAAAAAAAATAAAAAAATGTTAAATAAACAATTGGGTATTAATACTGGAAGTCTCCTGAAGAGAACACAGCGCTTGGTGTGGGTCAGGGATTAACCGCTCTATACACCCTGAACAGATGAAAATAGATACGAATCATCAGCAGTGGTTGCTGCATTTTACTCACGCAGATTTTGAGAGAAGAGAAATGTTAAGAGGAGAGACCGCAGGAACAGGTGTGAGATGGAAAGAGCGAAACAAGATTGCAGATTGAACTCACGAATGGAGCGAAGCAGCGAGGATATTATGTTCGTAAAGCTAATCTAAGGATGTAAATTTGTACATACATACATTCATGCGTACACAGTTTGATATACATACATACATAAGTGCACTTTCCCTACAGAAAATGCAACTAATCCGGGATGACGACGGCATCAATCGCACAGGGACATTCGACTAATACCACTTTAGATCTCATTATATGGAATGAACTATGAAGCCAGCAGTCGCCTTATTTATGTGTGTATGTACCGGAATTTAAAATTTTTTGAGCAGTGTGGCTAAGGACTTCATCAATATTTATTCATAATTGATATACATATATATAATCGCCCTTTAGTAAAAAAGTGGTTTTACAAGAAATTTTAGGAAAATGGGGGTGGTGGTTTGAAAAACCACTTTTTTGCTAAAGACCGATTGTACATATATATCAATATTGATGATTTCGTTAGACACAGAGCTCTAAAAATCTTAAATTCCGGTACATACACACATATAAATTCAAGGCCGTATTTAAGAAAAGTCGCTTAACTTCGACAATTTTCGTGCGATTGCTATAAATGAGGTGTATCAGTTTATTTGAAAATAGACTTAATTTTAGATAGTACTCCATATTTTGGAATTATAAAAATTATCGATGGTCAAAATTAAAAAAAAATTAAGAGAAATATGGGTCTTTTTTTACTTTTCCCGATAAAAAATCCCAACAAGCCTATAGTCCAGTAAAATTAGATAAATTTGGTAGGAAAATTGAAAAAAAAGGTAACAGCGATTTTTTGATGCAGTTTACTTCTATTTGACACGTAGATCATGGATCCACAGTCTTGCCCCTAAATTTCATTTCGCAACATTCCGCCATCTTGGATTTAATTTTTTTTGTGGATATTTTCCAATTTGCAAGCTTATTTTGCATTTTTCGTAAAAAATGGTTTCATACAAATATGTAGAGAATTTAATGTCCCACATTTACGATATAGAATGTTTTTTAAAAACAGCATTTTTTATCGTAAAAAATTAGCAAAAACTGCTAAAAAGTTATATATTGTCACGGTTTGCGCCATTTTTGGCAATTTCTGTTGAAAATACATAACATGTTGAAATTCCAAGGTTGTAGAGAATTTCATTCTCTAAAACTTTTGTGGCAACATTTTTTTGTACGACGCTTAGATCACGGCCGGGAACGCGATACACATAGCGATGTACGGGATGCGCCGTAAAAATGGCGAAAACCG